TTATTTTTTGGTTGAAATTCCTGCTTTATTCAGTGTTTTCTGTGTGCTCATGTTCACCTTCTGTTCGTAATCACTTCACTTGGTTCATGAAAGGTCTCTGATGATATCTGCGAAATTTGGAATGTGTGCAGTGATTTGTTAAAAAATTTCGATCGACCATTGCTTTATGTATTGCTCTTTGAAAATTTTACGTAAAATTATCGGCAGCATCGACGAAGAGAGTTTGCAAATTTTTTGTGCACAAAAAACGTATCTATAAATCATTGTCGAGATGTTGTCGAGATTTCTAGGAAAGATTTGAGATCATCGATCGCTTTTCTTTTCTTGCAAAAAAATTGCTTTGTTTTAACAGAGCACTGAAGCATTGTCTCGTATGTATAAGTCTTGCTTGAATTTAACGAGCTGTCAGTTTTTGCAATATGGATTTGTGTTATTATGTTGTTTTTCAGTATGGGAAGTAATGATTCGCTTTTGGCTACCGCAATGACACCCTTGGAAACGTCCCCGTCGAAAATGTCTGATTTTTATATCGGACTTGCACTAGCCGTTTCATCTTCGCTTTTCATTGGCAGTTCTTTTATTATCAAGAAGAAGGCTCTCATAAAGGTAATTCTTTATTTGCTTACGCGATGGTGCAGTAAATTTGAAGCTGTCATTCAATGTCTTTTTTGCAGCTTGCAAGTGGCGATGTAGCACAACGAGCAAGCGAGGGCGGATACGGGTATCTACGCGAATGGATGTGGTGGATGGGAGTAATTACAAGTAGGTTATTTTGAGTTGCGAAAACTTTCATTTTCTTCAATTGTTTTTCGATAATATTGAGTTTTCACTTTTGTTGCATTTTTAAAATCTTGTACGAGATAACAGAATTAGCCAGTAAATTAGCTAATATGATACACATTAATGCGTTTTTTGTGTTGAGGAATGTTAGGAGGCAGTGTCCGTGCAAAAAGTCGATTTTGAGATCTTGTGCTTACCTGGGCTCATTCGCTATGTTAATCCGTACTGGAGAGCGTGAAAAGGCGAAAAAGGGCTCTAATACAGGAGGTGGATCTTCATGTGAGCGGGGTCTTTCCTACTGTGAATTACGCTCTCAGCTTCCGTAGCGATCTTCTCGGTTCCGATTTCAAGTTACGCGTTCGCACTTGGTTGGTGGCAATGTCAGGCGGCTAACGGAACCGAGAAGATCGCTAGAGAAGCTGCGAGCGTGAATTAAGAGTGGGGAAGACCCCACTCACCTGCTGATCTCCCTCTTTCGTTAGGGTCTTTTTTACCGTTTTCGCGCTCTCGCGTGGATTTTTGGATTCAGCAAAGCGAATAGGCGCGAGTAAGTACAAAGTCTCAAATCCACTTTATGCCCTGACACTGCCTTTTAACGCACCTAGCGATTCTTGCTCTTCATAATCAGTATAGTGCGTCAAAAGAGTGGAATCTGTCTGATGTTATTTTTTTGGCCAGTGAATCACGGATGTGCAGTTATGTATTCATGGTAGCATGCAAAGCTGTATATACACAATAGTCATTGCGCTCTATGTCAGGACTGATTTGACTTAATAACTATGCTTGGGTTCGTGTCTTCTTTTGCTGAGGGAATGATTTGAGGGGCCGGAAGCGTTATCTAGCAGTTTTGAGGACTACTTGAAGCTGGAAGGGTAGGGTTTGAGCCTTAAATTTTGAGAAATCGCAGTAAGCATAACATATGCAAATTGCGCGTTAGTCTATGCCTTGGGTCTTTACGCTGTCTTTCGAATGAAAAAAAAAAATGATTATGCTAAAGTAGGGTGGTTGGTACGTACAACAATGTAATTCAAGTACATTTTAGTGGGAGTGGGAGAAGCGTGTAATTTTGCTGCGTATGCATTTGCCCCAGCAAGTTTGGTAACGCCTCTTGGAGCATTGTCCGTTTTAGTAACGTAAGTCTCTTTATCCAAATTTATCCTAAATTTCCCCATACCAAGACTAGACATTTTAAGTGCTGTTCTGTCGTCACGTCTCTTGAAAGAAAGGCTCAATCTTCTTGGTAAAATTGGATGCGCAGTATGTCTACTTGGCTCTACTGTTATTGTCATTCACTCTCCCAAAGAGGAGGAAGTGGCTACGATGGCAGACCTAGCCCTGAAAATGAAGGATGCAGGTACGATTATTGCGTATATAAAATATCTTTTTTCATCCAATTCTCAATCTTTTCAGTGTTCATATTATACGTTGTTAGTGTCATATTGGTTACGTTGTTCATAACCATCTATGTAGCACCTCGTTATGGCAGATCCAATATTATCGTCTACATCAGCGTTTGCTCGTTAATCGGGTCGCTTTCTGTGCTTTCAGTCAAGGTAAGTAGGCTTGGCAAAGTTCCAGCAATTTTGCACTAAATTTCTTCTCTTCAGGGTCTTGGCTTGGCAATCAAAGAAACTATATCGGGCAATCAACAACTTACAAATCTACTCACTTACTTCTGGCTTGTATCGGTGACTGCTTGCGTGTCAGTACAATTGGTATGTGCTTACAATGTTTGGTTCATTTCTTAAGATTCCCTTAGTGTGATGTGATGTGTAATCTCAGGTGTACTTGAACAAAGCTCTCGATATGTTTAACACATCCATGGTCACGCCGATCTACTACGTTTTCTTCACAACGTTTGTCATACTAGCTTCTTCAATTTTGTATAAGGTTAGTTATTTTGACTCCTGCTTTCGTTTTCACCCGTTTCATTAGTTTTTTCCCTATTTTGCATTATTTTGTGCCCTTAAAGGCATTGCCTAGGTCAGCTTGGGGATATTGGAGTCTTGACATAGTGTGAGAGCACGGCTCTTGACTAATGCAACAGTTCAAGTCCGATCGAAAAAG